CAGCATTGGGGTCTTTCAGCCTGCCGTCCTTAAAGGTGGTCCCCTGCATCGCCTTTAGTGGGGGCAAACAGAGAAGGCTGAAGTGGGGACGGCCTCAGAACCCTGAACCCCAAACATATTGCACGAACTTTTCCAGGGATATGTGGATAAATGTCTCTTTCTCCCAGATAAGCACCAATGGCAGGCCCAAATAGGAGCTACCAGAGTCACCATTACAGAGCATGGGGGAGGGGCTACTTCCTGGTGTATGGTGACCCCAAAGCAGCCAGACCACTGGGAAGTCTCACTTCAGTGTGAATGACCACTTCTCCACAGCTGCAGAGATGGTATTCCCCTTCAGCTAACCTTCCGCGTTCTATGTACGATGGCACCTCCCAAGACCACATGCCGCTCAAGCAAAATTACATACAGCTGGGGCAAGAGGCCTAGAAGTGGCTGGAGTCTCAGCCGAGGGTCTAGTGACCCTCCCCGTCTTCTCCTTTGAGGAAATGTTCACAGGCTCAGTCTTGGGGTCTTTTGCAAGTAATCTCGCTGCTGTGATAATAATGGTTGCCATGCTTGAAGGATAGCGTTAGAGAATGCCTGCCTCCTGCCTCCCCCAGAGATACATTTAATGATGATCTTGACTCTGTTCTGCTACTACAAGTGTTCAAGAAACAGCTGCTTCTCTTCCTCCTCTTCTTTTTGTTTTTTGTTTGTTCATTTGGTGGGTTTTTGTGGGTTTTTTTTTTTTGAGACAGGGTTTTTCTGTGTGTCTCTGGCTGTCCTGGAACTCCCTCTGTAAACCAAGCTGTCCCCAAACCCAGAGATCCATTTGCCTCTGCCTTCTGAATGATGGGATTAACAGCATGTGCCACCACCGCTGCCTGGCAACGTATGGAACAGTTTCTTGTTAGAACACACTCAGTGAAAACTGAATCTGTGTCCCCAAACCATGCTCATTTATAGTTGACAGAATAATCCCATGCTCCCCTTGGGGTGAGAGGTATGCTTTGGCAGCTTTGGTGCTCAATGTGGGACCTTAAGAACATCCGTTTTCACTAGAGGAACCACTCAAATCAGTGCCATGTACCACCAGTACAGGCCGTTGTGCCCTGCTAACCATTTTGCTTTCTCAGGTTGGCAAGCTTTCTGGGGCCTGGATCTCCTGTTTGGTCTGGCCTGTGGCCACTGGCCTTTGTGGAGCTGGTTGCTAGCAATCCCTCTCTAAGGACACTAGTTTGTGAAGAGTTTTGGAGTGTCCTCATGAGAGCAGTTGGATCGGAACATTTGTTCGTTAGCTTTCAGAGGTTTTCATCCGCTGCTCACCCATCACCTAACTCCTCTTCTGCTCACTGCTACCTCTGCCTCTTTTTGTTTGGAAATGTTATGAACACACGATCGTCTAGACACACTCAGCTGAACTAGAGAGGCGATGTGGGCAGCCTACTTTGGCTGAAATTGAAAAGTATCTAAGAACCTAGGCATGGTGGCACCCGCCTGGAATCCCAGCACACACACATAGCGAATGCCCGTGCCATGGTGCAGATGCCAGAGGACAACCCTCTAGAATCAGTTCTGTCCTCCCAGTAGCAGTTCTGGGGACCGAACCCAGGTCATTAGGCTTGCATGACAGCCCACTGAGCAACCTTAACAGCCTATGTAATCGATTGACTGTTCTTACCAATGTGTGCTGTATGTTTGTGTCTGTATGTGTGTATGCACCTGCTATGGCTCGTGGGTTGAGGTCAGAGGATAACTTTGTGGAGTTGGTTCTTTTCTTCCACTTTTGCCTGGGATCTGGGACTTGAATTTGGGTGGGTGTCAGGCTTGCTCACCAAGTGTCTTTACCCATTGAGTCGTCTCACTGCCCCATCCCCCTTTTGAAGCAGTTGAATTCTAGCCTCACGATATATCCCTGTCTATAGCTCACCATGTAGATGGGGCCACCCTGAGCTCCTGACAGTTTTCTTGCCTTCGCCTTCCAGATGCTGGGACTGCAGGTGTGGGCCACCTTGCACAGCCTAGGGTATTTCTGTTTTAGATTCAAGACGCCTGGGGCTGAGAGCAACAGAACTTCCTTCTAAGAAAAATCACGAATTAAGGGACTCCAACCAACTGTATTACTATGTTGCTATCAATATTAGCAATGTCAAAATATGGCAAGTTCATAGATATAATGGCCAATTTATTATAACAGCATATTTTCTGTCACAGCATAGTTTATCCTAATGACTATCTATGCTTAGATATGTGGCTGAATACCTCACAATATAGGACCTAACTACAGCAATCAATCATATAAACTCTGATGGACTCAAATTACAGATGATGGACGTGTTACCATGGGGCTTGGCAGACTCTGAGAAGTCCTATGGCAAACTCAGACTTGGACCTGCCTTGAAGTAACTACTCCAGCAATTCCTGTTAGGCAACCCAAACAGTTTGGTCTGACTTTTCTTTTTTTTTTTTTTTTAAGATTTATTTATTTATTATGTATACAACATTTCTTTCATGTATGCTTACATGCCAGAAGAGGGCACCAGATCTCATTATAGATGGCTGTGAGCCACCATGTGGTTGCTGGAAATTGAACTCAGGACCTCTGGAAGAGCAGTCAGTGCTCTTAACCTCTGAACCATCTCTCCAGCCCTGGGCTGACTTTTCTTATCCAAATTGTTCAAAACAAGTCAGTTTCCAATGACTAAGGCATTGGTAGTCATTATCTTGTGTGTGTGTGTGTGTGTGTGTGTGTGTGTGTGTGTGTTTAATATACTTTGGAGGGTTAGTTTTGTTTTGTTTTGTCTTGTTTTCAAGACAGGGTTTCCTCAGTGTACCCCTGGTTGTTCTGGAACTCTCACTGTAGACCAGGCTGGCCACAAATTCAGAGATCCACCTGCCTCTGTCTCCCAAGTGCTGGGACTAAAGTTGTGCACCACCACCGCCTAGCTGTTTGTTTTTTAACTGGCCAAATTCCAGAGCCCAAAGAGGCCTCATTGAAATTCTAGGTTCTGGAGTAGGAATGTTTTTCAAGAATCTTATAATGTATAATGAGCAAGAACAAGTTACTTTACATATTAAGTTTTAAAATGTTTCTGAATGGCTAGAAAGATGGTTTGGTGATTAGGACCACTTGCTGTTCTCTCAGACGACTCAGGGCCCCTGATTCTAGAACTCACAGAGTTCACAGGCATCTGCAGCTCCAGTTCCAGGAGATGCTCTGCCCTCTTCTTGACTCTGAAGGCATGTGTGTGGTGCACACCGACACAGGCAAAACACTATTTGTAGAAAACAAAAATAATCTTAAAATTTTTTTTTTCTGAATTGGACTAGGAATTTTAAGACAAGATAAACTTTTAAAAATAGAACAAAGACAGGGGCTGAAGAGATGGCTCAAAGGTTAGGAGCACTGACTGCTCTTCCAGGGGACTGTCTGTAACCGCAGTTCTAGGGGACCCAACACCCATGGCAAAACACCAATGCATATAAAATGAAAGTAAAAAATTTATAGCTGGGTAGTGGTAGCGCACGCCTTTAATCCCAGCACTTGAGAGTCAGAGGCAGGCAGATCTCTGTAAATTCGAGGCCAGCCTGGTCAACAGAGCTAGTTACAGGACAGCTAGGGCTGTTATACCGAGAAACCCTGTCTTGAAAAACTAAAAGAGAGAGAGGGGAAAAAAAGAAATAACGAAAGAAAAAATTTTTAAAGTAATTAATAAAAAAACAAAGAAAGACATACCCTTCTTAAAAATTAATGTGGGCACCTGAGGTGACGCAGCAGGTAGAAGTGCTGCCAGGCCTGATGCCCTGAGTTTCACCCTATAACCCACCTGCTGGAGGGGGAAATCAGCTCCCAGCAGGTAAAAGTGCTTGCTGCCAGGCCTGATGCCCTGAGTTTCACCCTATAACCCACCTGCTGGAGGGGGAAATCAGCTCCCAGCAGGTAAAAGTGCTTGCTGCCAGGCCTGATGCCCTGAGTTTCACCCTATAACCCACCTGCTGGAGGGGGAAATCAGCTCCCAGCAGGTAAAAGTGCTTGCTGCCAGGCCTGATGCCCTGAGTTTCACCCTATAACCCACCTGCTGGAGGGGGAAATCAGCTCCCAGCAGGTAAAAGTGCTTGCTGCCAGGCCTGATGCCCTGAGTTTCACCCTATAACCCACCTGCTGGAGGGGGAAATCAGCTCCCAGCAGGTAAAAGTGCTTGCTGCCAGGCCTGATGCCCTGAGTTTCACCCTATAACCCACCTGCTGGAGGGGGAAATCAGCTCCCAGCAGGTAAAAGTGCTTGCTGCCAGGCCTGATGCCCTGAGTTTCACCCTATAACCCACCTGCTGGAGGGGGAAATCAGCTCCCAGCAGGTAAAAGTGCTTGCTGCCAGGCCTGATGCCCTGAGTTTCACCCTATAACCCACCTGCTGGAGGGGGAAATCAGCTCCCAGCAGGTAAAAGTGCTTGCTGCCAGGCCTGATGCCCTGAGTTTCACCCTATAACCCACCTGCTGGAGGGGGAAATCAGCTCCCAGCAGGTAAAAGTGCTTGCTGCCAGGCCTGATGCCCTGAGTTTCACCCTATAACCCACCTGCTGGAGGGGGAAATCAGCTCCCAGCAGGTAAAAGTGCTTGCTGCCAGGCCTGATGCCCTGAGTTTCATCCTATAACCCACCTGCTGGAGGGGGAAATCAGCTCCCAGCAGGTAAAAGTGCTTGCTGCCAGGCCTGATGCCCTGAGTTTCATCCTATAACCCACCTGCTGGAGGGGGAAATCAGCTCCCAGCAGGTAAAAGTGCTTGCTGCCAGGCCTGATGCCCTGAGTTTCATCCTATAACCCACCTGCTGGAGGGGGAAATCAGCTCCCAGAAGTTGTCCTATTGTCAATGACTTCCACACACACAATGTCACACACACGCACTCACACCCACAACCCCTCCCCGCACACAGACACATAAATAGACTTAAGTGTGGCTTCTCAGAATATGTAGTCTGTCGCCCTCTGGTGACAAGAGTGTCTGTGCCCTGTGGGAAATCCTCAGAGTTAAGTCTGGACGGGATGGAGCCAGGGCGGTGCAGAGCTGACCTGAGACGGCTCCTGGCGAAGCTCCTGTGACCGGCCTGGGTGGTTCCCAGTCTAGGACACCCGGAGGTGCAGAAGAACAGGTGAGCTCCAACGGGGACCCGGGAGAGGGGATTACCTTTAATACAGTTGCTCTCTACTGTTCTTCTGTTTGGTTTAGAAGCAAAGAATAAAGGAACAAAAGGCAGGAAAGAGACCAAAATCTGACCTCAGCAGATGAACCTGCCTTGATTAGCATGGCAGCAAGGGTCAGAGACTTGCCCCGCCAGAAGGAAGTTGTGAGAAGGGGAGGGAGCTGGTCGGGGCTCTTACAGGAGTGGGCTCTGGGCTTTGGTGAAGTCCGTACCGCTGTACGAGAGGGTACACGCAGGGCTTGAGAGATCTGTGGTCGCTCTTTTGTTTACTTATAAACTGGTTTATTTCTCTTAATAGCTTGCTCAGGCAAAGCAGGCTATCTTGAGTACGGTCTGTCTCAATAAACAATTCTCCCTGAGATGTAAAAGTGTCCGACCAGGTAGTCTCAACAGAGGGAGTTCTGGTTTTCCACAGCTCGGACAGAATGTGACTCCGCCCCCCGGAGGTGCCAGGAGCAGCTGGTGTTCCACGGGCGTATCTCACCTCCACTCTCAGCCTTCTCCCTGGGTGAAAATACCCGGTCCAATCCTGGAAGCCGAGGGCTGGAACGTGTCGGTGTGGGTGTGTAGGTGTTCTTTGGACACCCCTGTTCCTAGCTGGATTTGGCCTCAGCTTTAAACGGAGCCTGTTGGGTTTCCGGGCTGGACTTGTCGTTTGGGTAAGACCAGTTCTGATTTTCTGACCAGCGCTCATTTCTGGAGATTTTTTGAATCTTTAACACCCAACCCCCCTTTCTTCTGGGAGCTCCAGTTCACATCACCAACACTTGGCCTTGAAAGAATGAAACTGTTCTTTTAATGAGGTGGAAACTGTTAAGGGCTTAATCGTGGCTGCCCTGTTGTGGTCCTGTTTGCCAATGTATGTGAGCCTCTTTTGTGTGGCTGTAATGTAACTGTGCATTGATTTGGATGTGTGGAGGGGCCTAGCAGCACGGTGCAGTTCCTCTAATGGCTACATACACCCCCACTCCCGCACCATGTTCTGCTGAGTCAGCAAATGGAGGGCCTGATGGAAGATAGGCCCAGTTACCCTTGTAGCCTCTGATCAAGATCTCGTAGTCCAGGCTAACCTTGATCTTTATGTATCAGGGGAAGACCTTGAACCCCTGATCCTCCTGACGCCTCAGTCCCACCCCAAGTATGCACTGCCACATCCAGCTTGTTTGTGTTTTGAGCTGGAGGCTTGCTGTGTATCCTAGACTGTCTCGAACTCAATGCTCTCTTGCCTCCACTCTGCCTCTCCGGTTCCCCAGTGCTAGGATCACAGAATACGGCCATCTATTGACTCGCTCTTCCCACAAGCATTTACTTGCATGCCGGCTTCACTGTAGACTCAACAGACTGAGGCGGGATCTCTCCATGGCAGACCCCAGTCCAATTCTGTCCTTGCCTCTCCTGAGCCATCACCAGCTCTCAAATCTGAGACTCTCTTGGGCGTCATTAAAGAAAATAAGAGCTGGGCGGTGGTGGTGCACGCCTTTAATCCCAGCACTAGGGAGGCAGAGGCAGGTGGAGCTCTGTGTGTTCGAGGCCAGCCTGGTCTACAGAGCAAATTCCAGGACAGGCTCCAAATTTACACAGAGAAACCCTGTCAAAAGGAGAAAGAAAGAAAGAAAGAAAGAAAGAAAGAAAGAAAGTCAATGACAGCCATTAAGTCATCACTAAGGAAGACTTTATTCAAGGGGAGCCATGGCAACAGGTATAGGGACCACTGCAGGAGAGACTTGCCCAACACCTGAATCAACCACCCTCCATCACTTCTTGTAGGGAAATCCAAGATTAATACTTTGTCTCAAACCAAAAGGATGTTCAGGTTTTCTCCATGTACAGTCTTTCCTAACATGGCTTCCAGTCATCAGCTTGAAGAGGCAGGTTCAGGAGTGTGGCACTCTATGGAAGCTGAATGACCTGCATGCAGCCTGAGCAGGGCCTGGGGCTATGCCAAGACATTTTTATCTCTGTGAGCCCAACTCCCAGTCTGAACAGCTAAGAAGGTCAGGAAGCAATACTCTGATAAAATAAGCTGTTTTCAGGTATCCACAGGAGATTGGCTTCAGGACATCATGTGAAACCTGAAACTGTTACCTGCTCCAGTCCCTTAAATGATTTTTGCATAGAATCTGCACGTGTTCGCTTGTAGACTTTCAAACATCTTTATATTACTTATCATACTCTAATAACACTATGAGTGCTGTGTGAATAGTTATTATAGAAGTAACAACAGAAAGTGTTCCCGCTCAGCACAAGCATGATTTTTTTCCTCTAGTATCCAGTCTACACATAGTTGAATTTACGGACTCAGAACCATGACTGCAAGGGACTACCACTCCCAAGAGCCTTCCCAGACACAGCCTCCCAGAACCTCGGACTCATCGAGTCCTTTAGGTACACGGAGAGTCCAAGTTCAAACTTGAATAAGAATAAAGACTCTTTGCTTTTACATATAAAACTCGGTCTCCTTGTTGGTTTTTGGGAAGCTCCACAATTTGGGCGTAACAGATAGATTTATTTTCTCATTATTCTAGAGGCTAAGGAGTCAAAAACCGAGGCCCTGGCAGATTCAGTGCTTGGTGAGAACTACCCTTTCTGCTTCCAAGATGGTACCTGATGGCCTTGTGCTCAAATGGCACAAAGGGTGAGTACTACATCCCCATGGGTACTGCATCCTCACCTGGCACAGGGTGACATAACAGGAGGAATAAAGCAGTTAGGGACACAGCTCAGTGTCCTTGGAGCCCTAGGTTTAATCCCTCTAACACCAAATAAATAAGCAAAGGGCACAAAGGATCTCTCTAATTGCCTCCAGCCCTTTCCTGCCAATGAGGCTGAGCCCCCATGGCTTTTTTTTTCCCCAAATATTTATTTATTATGTATACAATATTCTGTCTGTATGTCTGCAGGCCAGAAGAGGGCACCAGACCTCATTACAGATGGTTGTGAGCCACCATGTGGTTGCCAGGAATTGAACTCAGGACCTTTGGAAGAGCAGGCAATGCTCTTAACTTCTGAGCCATCTCTCCAACCCCCCCCCCCCCATGGCTTTATGTACTCTCGAAGGCCCCACTTTCTCACGCCGTTACTCTGAGGTTTCAACACAGATTTTCACGAGGACACAGATATTTAAAGCATAGTAGTAGCATCGTGATTAGAACTCCCCCCAGTGCTAAGTTACATTATTGGGATACACATCTAAATAGTGTGGGAGTAGGGGTACAGTTCCCAACAAAATTGGGAGTCTCCTTGTAAAAAGGAGGCAACAGTTGTCTGAACATTTGCTGATCCCTGGCCACCTAGATGAATGAAAGAAACGGAGCATTCTGATTCAGCCTCAGATTGCTGTCTCATCCCCCGTGGCAGGCATCCAGCAGAGCTCAGCTGCTCTCCAGTAATTAGCTGGAGTTGATTCTCCGGGTATTTGGCCACTGTAACAGAAGTTGCTTGACATAGTCTTGTAGGCTAGCAGGCTTACTAGGCAGTACCTGCTTAGAGTCCGTGTGTCTTCTGTTCTTGTTACCCTTCCCGCTCTGTTTATGAATGGACTGAGCAAACTCTTGAGAAAGGCAGCTGAATGCCATGTGCAGAGAGAGAAAGAGAGAGAGAGAGAGAGAGAGAGAGAGAGAGTTGGTCTGTCTGTGTGATTATGTAATCTCTCCTGCCATTGGCCAGAGGCTCTGGGCCAGGTTCTGAGACACCTGTCTGTTGACCATTTCCTTACACTTCCTTAAAACAGTCTTCAAATACTACGTGTAAGGCCAACCTTGTGGCAGTCAGCTTTTGCCATGTGTAGGCAGTGGGGCACTTTCCAGTCCTGTTTCCCCACAGGCTCCGTAGGTGACATGTGTGACCTGGGGGAGTGGGCCTGAGATGAGAGCCTGCTGCCATGATAGTCACAAGAGCCTGGACAGAGGGAAGCATCCAGGATGTGGCCCCGCCCACCTCTTCCCAACCTATTTCCCAGAGACTGCAAGAGTCAATTTCCTGTTGCTATGGAGAAATACTTAAGGCAATTAGCTTATAAAAAGTACCACAAACCGGGGCGTTGGTGGTGCCTTTAATCCCAGCACTTGGGAGGCAGAGGCAGGCGGATCTCTGTGAGTTCAAGACCAGCCTGGTCTACAAGAGCTAGTTCTAGGACAGGCTCCAAAGTCACAAAAAAAATTCTGTCTCGAAAAACCAAAAAGAAAAAAGAAAAAAAAGAAAAAAAAGAAAAAAAAAGTACCACCCGCTGCTTCTGGAAGTTTCAGTCCCAGCTGGAGGACAGAGCAGCCAGTGCACTAAACTGCTCCATTAGTAAACAGGAAGCCCATAAGAGAGTAGGAACCTGGGGTTTCACAGTCCCCTTAAAGGACATGCCTGCTGTGTAGTCACCACCTCCCCTAAAGTCTCCATCTCTACCGCAGGGCCTCTCACTAGCCATACCCTGGTGATCAAGCCTTTAACACAAGGACTTTTGGGGAACATTCAGCATTCAAGCCATTGCACACCCCATGAACGTATGGGGCTATAGTGAAGGACTGTGATGGGAACTGATTTGAGAAATTCTTTCCTTATGGAAGTCCAGAGGGGCAGAGCTGGGGAGGGGGATGAGGGGGCACATGGATGTGAGTCCGGTCCACCTGGACTAAAGGTCAGAGAGGTTTGGGCTTATTTTTACCAACAGGTGTGGCTACAAACAAGAAACCTAAGGTGTGGTTACTTATAGGGTTTTGGACATTAAGATGGCCCGTAGAGGTGGATCCATTCCACCCTGACTAAAGGTCAGGGAATTCAAGCCTATTCCTGCTCCTTCATTTTAAAGTAGGAGGTTTGACAGGGAGTGGCTGCCTATGGTCTAAGGTGTGTCAGGATTCAGGCTGTGTGGTGCTGAGGTGTCATAGTGTTGTTAGTAACTGATGTTCCTTGATGTGCACATGTTCAGATGTAAGCATAAACATCTCATGAACCTTGGAGGGAATGTACTTAAGGAGCTATGAAGTGCTATTACCATGACAACTGTTTTCATATCCCTGGGGATTTTAATGGGACACAAGTAGTCAGACTCAGGTAATCTCCCTTCCTGTGTTTTCAAGGGTGCCAATAAAACCTTTTCTTTAGTCAGACTCAGGTAAGCTCCCTTCTTGTGTTTTCAAGGGTGCCAAAAAAACCTTTTTTTAAAGGTATACAGTGTCCTGCCTGCATTTCTGCCTGCACGCCAGAAGAGGGCACCAGATCTCATTACAGGTGGTTGTGGGACACCATGTGGTTGCTGGGAATTGAACTCAGGACCTCTGGAAGAACAGTGAAGAGCTCTTAACCTCTGAATCATCTCTCCAGTCCCCAAAAGTATGTCTTTAAATATGAAACCCTTCTCTGGGACAGATTCCTTAATTTGTTCCTGACTTTAGAGGTAAATTGCAAAATATTGTCACTGGAATCTGACAATTCCGCTGACTGAAAGTCCCTTGGGGGCTGGAGAGATGGCTTAGTGTTTTAGAGCACTTGTTGCTCTTGCTGAGCACCTGGGGTCAATTTGCAGCACCCACAGTGTGGTTCACAACCCTCAGTAACTCCAGTTAGTGTATCTGATGCTCTCTGAGCTCTCAGAGTCCTAGGCATAATGTGGTGTACATAAGACACATAAATTTGGAAGGAGGAGAAAGTTACTGGGTTTGGGACTCAAGGGGGACAATGAAGCAATGGCATTTTTGGTTATAGAGTTATTAATGCCATAGAAAACATTATGGGAAATCTGAGTTCAAATCTACACGGGAGGGGGATTCCCCTTCTTACAGATTTCCAAGATGGTAGGTTTTGGAAGTCCACACACAGGTCGTCAGTATCCAGGCGCACATGGCCACTAGGGACTTGGCAGAGTACTTACCCCTGTGTGCCTGGCAGGCAGTACCCTGTTCCTTTAAAAGGCAGAACTCAGCCTACTTCCTCCTTTTCTTCCTCTTCTCTCTGCATCTGTCGCTTCCTCTCCTCTCTTCTCATGAGGTCACTCTGCAATCCCTTCCTCTCTCCCCTCTCCCTTCCCTTCCCCAATAAAACTCCCCATGTGAGTTCTGTCTGCCCCTCACCCACTGTCGTTGGGACTCTCTTGCTGTTTCATGACAGGCTGTTTCAGGAAAGGAGTATGTGGCCCTGAGGATATGGAGAAGGAAAGGTACATTTAGTTAAGGTGTATTTGTTATGTGAGTGGGGGTGATGAGCTGTCCCTGGTAGCCTGTCCTTTGATGTCTTGGGGCCTGGTACCCTGGCCTGTAAACTTCCTCGGGGAAATGAGAATCGTGGTACTTGCTATTCCTCTGGAATCTAGGCATCTGAGGAGTCTGGGGAGTTAAGGGGTTCCAGAACCACAGATTGGCTCCCAATAGGGCACTTGTCATGTCTGAAAAAGTCATGAGAAAAAGGCTTATGCTAAGGCAATTAGCCCTTAGCTCCAAAACCTAACACCCATAACCTGTTAAGTATAGCAGTTAAGTTCTAGCTGGGTAGTGGTGGTTCATACCTTTAACCCCAGAGTTTGGGTGGCAGAGACAGGTAGAACTCTGAGTTCAAGACCAGCCTGGCCTACAGAGAGAGTCCAGGACAGTTACACAAAGTTACACAAAGCCTTGTCTTGAAAAACCAAAATGAAAAAAAAAAGTATAGCAAATTCTGTAACTGATACCTAAAGGACAAACCAAGGGGACAAGAGGCTAAAGCTACCAGAGTGAGAAAGGGGGGGGGGGGCTAAAGTCAAGGACCCCCTGCACCCGAGACCAGAGGAACCTTGGAATGAGGAAACCTCGGACCCCTGCTGGCTCAGACTTTTCCATTTTACCATCAATGCCCCCTGGCAGCCTGGTATCCTACCCTTGGCCACATCCTCATTAGTCCAATTAAAAAGACAATGAAGAAAAACAGAGAAGGGAGGTTTATTTCAAGCATCCACACTGGGAAGAAGAACAAATGAAAGAAGCCCAGTGCAGCGGTTTGAATAGAGAGGCCCCCACAGGCCCACTGGGAGTGGCACTATTAGGGGGTGTGGCCTTGTTGGAGGAGATGTGGCCTTGTTGGAGGAGGTCCATCAATAGGGACTGGGCTGGGAGGTCTCAGCTCAGGCCAGTTCTCTTCCTGTTTCCAGAATGTAGAATTCCAGACGGAGAGCTCTCAGCTCCTTCTCCAGCACCACGCCTGCCCTACTTGCCACCATGCTTCCTTGCTTCCTGCCATGACAAGAGCGGGCTAAACCCCGGAACTAGCCATCCCCACTTATATGTTCTCTCTTCTAAGAGCTGCCATGGTCATGGTGTCTCTTCGCAGCAACAGAAACCTTAAGGCATCCAATGATCCTCACCTCAAGTTCATCTTCCGGGCCCTGTGATATGAAGTCTAGGCTTAACTAGAGGGCAACGGGTGTGCATGGCTAAGCGATCCTGGTCAAGGTGTGATCCTCCTTAGTAGCATCGTCTCAGCTCCAGATCCTTCTGCAGAGGCTTCTGACAAATCTTCAGAGCTGTCTGAACTCTCGTTCAGGGAGACAAGTTCCTCCAGCCTTTGGCCTTTTTCGTTCTCCAGCTTGAGACTCCTGAGGAAACTCCATTTCCTTGGGAACCATTGTTTCAATAGTCTGGTAGCCAAACAGGGGCACAAATGTCTCCATTTCTGAGCCAAGTACAAACCCTGAAGTCACAAGACAGTGCTGCCATCCCCTACATTGCATGCTTTTGCCTTGCTGCAAGATTTTTAACAAACCAAAAAGAACTAGGGAAACAAAGGGAGACCCAGAATCCCAGTGACATTTCCTGGGCACCTGCCAGATGTCTGGCTTGTTAGTGAGAAAATTATACAAAGTCTACCAAGGGCTTAGATGAGGGTAACTCTGAGCGATCTAACTTGAGCAGTGCTTCCCTGAGGGCCGACAATTGCCTAGTTTAGCATTATACCTTAAGGCCTGGAGGAGCCCAACTGGTACCTTTGGCTCAAAACCTTTTCCTTATGCCCACCCCCCCTTCCCGGAGATCTCCCAAGCATCTTCCCTCTTGTGCAACAGCAAGGATGCAGGGAAGTAACTGGATGGCGACTCCATTCTGCCTCCTTCCCCATCTACGAGGACCTACACGTGTCGGATTGTAGGCCTTGCGGACACATGTCCGGGGAGGCTCAGGACACACAAAAAGTCTTAGTTGAAAGTGGCTGGGTTGAAGGTGGCACTGTGCCAGGGGAGGGAAGGCTGACTGCTGGTACAACAGGAGAACAGAGACCAGTAAGGGATCCACAGGTCTGCCAATTCCACAAGCTCAGAGGAAGTTCCCAAGGAGAGTAAGGATTGTTTTTTCTCCAAGCACAAGCCACCACGCTTTTGGCTCATTATTTGAGGTTAAATCGTATTCACTGGAGTCGGTCATTCCTGGCCCATTGGCAGGACAGAGAAAGCCAACATGACTACCTAACAGCACACATCAAGGGCTGAAGTTTTTCTCTACTTGGAACAGAAATTTCTCAGGCCTGAACTTGCTCAAGTCGTACAGTTAATCTGTAGCATCTACCAGGGATGACTCGACAAAGCTAATCGCTAGAGTCAAGTCCTTGCCGCCTAGTTTACTAAATGATGCATTCTTCGTTTCTATCTTAGGAAACAAAGAGACAAAGGCGCTTCCTGGAGCACCAAAGCACCAAACCGCACCAAGGCCAGCAGTAGGAGTGCGCAGAAGCGCAGTTGCGCCCCTTTTGGTACGTAGTCTGATGTCATCGGAGGCGGAGCTAGGGGAGGAGCCGCAGCCGGCTTGGGGCGGTACTGAGCTGGGTCACGTAGCTCAGGTCCCTGATCCCTGACTTGGGCCACATCCCGCCTTTCACCGTCCTCTAGTTACTGCGTGCAATCCCTCCGCCACGATGCCGATGTTCACCGTGAACACCAACGTTCCCCGCGCCTCAGTGCCAGAGGGGCTTCTCTCCGAGCTCACCCAGCAGCTGGCGCAGGCCACCGGCAAGCCGGCACAGGTTTGCAGGGAGGGTACAGGAAGGGAGTGGGGTGGAACCGTCAGTCGGGTAGAGGAAGAATGGGGTTGAGAGCCAAGGCGGGCCGGCGGGTGGCGGTTGGAGCTCTCTCGGAGACCTGTGGCCCGTAGTCTTTCAGGCGGGCTAACCGCGTGTCCATCCTCCCCTCCCCCGCAGTACATCGCAGTGCACGTGGTCCCGGACCAGCTAATGACTTTTAGCGGTTCTAGCGACCCCTGCGCCCTATGCAGTCTGCACAGCATCGGCAAGATCGGCGGCGCGCAGAACCGCACCTACAGCAAGTTGCTGTGCGGCCTGCTGGCTGATCGCCTGCACATCAGCCCTGACCGGTGCGTGGGGGTGATGGGTGAGGGGAGCTGGGAGGTCGGCGGGAGGCGGGGACAGTCCAGAGGGCACCGTCACGCTCGCCGAGACCGCGTGTTTGGCTGAGTCGGGCTTTCATTCTTGCAGGATCTACATCAACTATTACGACATGAGCGCAGCCAACGTGGGCTGGAACGGTTCCACCTTCGCCTGAGTGCTGGCCTAATAACTTACCTGCACCGCTGTTCTTGTTCTTGGAGCCTTGCTGCACGCAGTGTTCTGTTTTCGTCCACACGTAGCAATGTCCACCCTCCGACCGGGAGAAATAAATGGTTTAGAGACCACGGTTGCTTCTTCTTCCTTGGTTTGCAGAGGGATTGGTGCAGGGCAGGGCCGTTGAATGAAGCCCAGGTTGCAAAGGAAGGGTGGGGTGGGATGGCAGGCTCAGAGTTGTCCATTGCCTCTCTCAAAAACCGTGGTTTAGATGCCCCTTTGTCCAGGCTTTCCTATGCTGGCCTTACCTCTAAAAGGGGTTGACTTATCACCAGGGACCTCAGACCAAGAGCCCCGTGTCAGAGCTTCCCAAGCAGGAGTTGCTTCCTGAAATAAGTTACTTGCTCCGTGCGGGAATCCCGAATGTTCTTATCGCAATAATAAACGGCTCTTGTAATGTGCTTTCATTGAAGAGGGGATTACTCGAGCAGAAGAGTGGGTAGCTGGGCCCGCACCTTTCTTCTCGGCCCAACTTTTCCTCCCCAAGAATCACGGCGCTAAGCCAAGGGTTCCAGTTTCTCGATCTGGATAGTTACTTGTTCTGGAACTTTGGGACAGTTTAGGTATGTTGGTGGAAGAGGTGGCCAAGATACAAAATTCTCCCTGGGCCACACTCCCCAACTCATTGCCTGTGTTCTGCTCAGGGGGAACAGGCAGCTCCCCGCCCCCCTCCTACAGCAGTTCCCTGAGAAGCACGAGGGTGGAGGGAGTACCTGCCTTCTCTTTATCATTAACATTAGGGTAGAAAAGGTACTGGCCCTCTGGGCGTTTTCATTAAACAAAGTCATTGGCGAAGGTCCAGTATGATTTAGCCCCACAACAGGTGGGGTAGGCGGAATCTCAGCTTTGGTCATAAGAACATAAGAACCTGCTGCTCTCCCGAAGGAATTCGCTGTTCCTTAGTGTGAAGCCTTCCAGTTAAGGAGACCCGCTGAGATAAATCTTTTTTTTTTGTAAGAATCCCAAGGAATTCGAATTTGCTTTTGGATTCTGAGGGACCCTGCCTGGGAACAGAAACAGACGTCTGACTGGGAGTGAGGAGCTTGCCTCTGACAGAGGTCTCCCTGTGTGCAGAGACCTAAGGCCTAGTGTAGGTATAGAGTCCTGGTCAGGATTGCCAGGATCCCTGCCCTTTGTATTCCATCGTTAGCAGAATGGAGTCTTTACCCTGGAAGAAGGGGAACCCCATATCAGACACATCACCGCCCCCACCACTAGATCAGGACAGAAGTAGGGCCAGCAGGGGGTTTGTTTAGAAAGAATCAAAGCTCATGAGACTGAATCATGAATATAGATGCCTCCTCAGTGTGGAGGCCAGCCATCCCTAGAGGTTCCCAAAGCAAGACCCTTCCTAGCTTACTATCACCATGAGGGGCCTTGTGATTTTCTTTGTTTCATTCTGCATTCATGAAGGCATGCCACGCCTGCCTGCCTCCTTACTGGGAGGCATGTCCTTGCTGCAATCTTAGGGACAATCTGGGGCTGCCCTATGGAATCTGAGTACCTCTTGTGTGGCAGGCTTCCATCCTCAATCCGGGCCTTTGCCACATACTCTTAACCACAGGGTTGGGTTTGAGGTCGGGCCTTCCACAGACTCCTGGGTCCCCAACCGCAGAACCTCTTTTTCCTGCTGATCTCCTGTCTTGCACCTGGCGCCTTCTGCTCTACACAGAGAGGCTCAGGCCTCCCCAGCTCTAGTCTGACTCCCTCATTTCACAGATGAGGACACTGACCCTGAAGTACTTCTCATAGTGTCACTGCTGGCTCCCAGGGCAGAGTCACAGACTAAAACTCCATTTCCTCAGCGAGGGCTTTGGCCTAAAGGCTGCTTGTGAGCCTAAAGTTAAGGTTTCTGTGGGGGACTCTGGCCTAGGGGCCATGTGTGAGCCTAAAATTGAGATCTCTATGGCAGAGGAGGCAAGCTGAACACCAGCTGTGTGAATGTGGGGGTCTGGGGTGGGGAGATCACATGAGCCAGAAGAGCCACCCACCTCAAAAATAAAAACCTCAGTGTTATGATTTGTGCTCAGTGGGAGCATCTACAAAGGGTTACACCCTGGTTATAGAGGCATTGACTTGAGCTCTCCACGTTTCCTGGTCAGTTTAATGGTTGCTGAGGCAACTGCTTCTGTCTCCCTCCCTCACCCCAGTCATCCCTGACCAGCCCCTTTCTCCAAAGCATGATCCTTCATTACCCACTGAATGAGGCCAGTTCCTTCTCAAAACCAACGCTCAGGGGCCAGCCAGCTAGCTTTCCCAATGATACCTCAATCCTCCAGGTTGGATGGGGGAAGTTGGGCAGAGAATGCCCCCCGCCCTGTTCTCTCCCCATTGTTCCATAGGGCCATGCATCTAATGAGGTGACCCCCACCTGTGCCCACGGTCACTGTTTGCCACAGCTGACCAACTCTGGCAAATCTTGTACCTTTCCAAGTGCTGTTCCTTCTCCTGTGCCCCATGGAGTTGCTCAGGACCACTGGTGGCATATCCTGGTTCGGAGGACACTCACAAATGCCTGTCTTGACCCATGCCTCTTAGATGGGATGTGCATTTCCAGGGCCTCCTTCCTGCTCTGGTCTTCTGGGCTGCTGCCCTGGGACTTTCGGGCCTTGTCCAGCAAGTGCAGATTCCCAGAAACTCCCTTCTCCACCCCTACTCTCCTTTCAGGCACAACTGCATCTCAGAGACCTCCACCCATCCCTTCTCCAGAACTCATACCTTAGGAGCCACCACCCCATCCCACCCCCAATCCTCACAGCCAGTTCCTTCTGGGAGTCAGATCTCCCTGGTTTTGGCCCTGCTTTGGGCCTCAGTTTCCCCCATCTGTGAAATGAAGGGGTTCACCATCTTTTTTTCCCTATTCGCCCAATCCTGAAGATGGAAAAGAACATTTGACATTGCAGGTGGCCTGTGCCTGTACTCAGGTCTTGATAAATTGTGAAAGCTCTCCATTTGTGCTGTGCCAACCCTGATGTGCAGTGGGAGATGACGTGTGTGGTAGGACATCTTAGAGGGCTTCACGAAATCAGGTGCATTAGCGGATGCAGTGGACAGGCCCGGAGACGGTGGCTGAAATGGATCTTCAGGAGCTAACACACTACACCTGCTGGCCCCCATGCTGAAGGGTCCCCCCGCTCTCTAAAGCTGGCAGGTAGCATAACCAGTCTGCCTCAGAGCCTTCAGAACAGATGTTAGAAACGAAGCAGGCTGGAGCTCCCAAAGCAATACCTCAATTATTGGGAGA